AAAAAAAGGAAGAAAAAAAAAAGAAGAAAAAAAAAAAGGCTGCAGCCACCACAGTGAAAAATCAGCGCTGCTTTCTTAACCCGAGCACCCAAATCAGGAGACAGGCCCTGCCAAAGGATTCCACCCCTCTCCCACTGTCAGTTTGCCAGCGAGTTGCTTCAGCGTTTGTGTGCTCTTGCGAGCTGACTGTAAATGATCAGGCAGGGCCCAGCGAGTTCCTCACCCCTCCTGGCCCTGGGGTCAGGAGCGAGAAGCTCTGCCAGGGTTGGGGGGGGTTGGGTTGGATATTAGAAAGAGGTTCTTTGCAGAGAGAGCGATCAGGCATTGGAAGACCTGGGTGATTCAGGATGGCAGAGATGCAGGTGAGGAGGTAATTCCTGCCCAGGCTCGGCCCCCACAAGTCACAAAGACACCAGCTGGCAAACTCGTGGGGTGATCTGTCGAGCGTGAAGGGTTGGCACTCGTATGGCTGCACCACAGTGAATTATTTGTGGGCCCTTGTATGATCACACCACAGTGAATTATTTGTTGGTGTTTGTGTGATCACACCACAGTGAATTATTTGTTGGTGTTTGTATGATCACACCACAGTGAATTATTTGTGGGCCCTTGTGTGATCACACCACAGTGAATTATTTGTGGGCCCTTGTATGATCACACCACAGTGAATTATTTGTGGGCCCTTGTGTGATCACACCACAGTGAATTATTTGTGAGGTCCTTGTATGATCACACCACAGTGAATTATTTGTTGGTGCTTGTATGATCACACCACAGTGAATTATTTGTTGGTGTTTGTGTGATCATACCACAGTGAATTATTTGTTGGTGTTTGTATGATCACACCACAGTGAATTATTTGTTGGTGTTTGTGTGATGGTATCAAAGTGAATCACCATTGATGTCTGGGGGGGGGATGGCCTGGCCGTGGGGACCCCCAGGGCTGTGGGGACAGGGGGGGTGGCAGAGCAGGTACCAGGGGACCAGCAGGGCAGTTGGGCCGGGCCAAGGGGCTCCCCAACAGCCCCCCTGGACGGGGCATCAGAACCCAACAACGGCCAAAACGGCCGATGGGGACCCAGCAGGTGAGTGGGAACGGCACAGCCGGGCCCAGAGTGGGGGAATCTGAGCGGGCCTGGGGTGTCCCGTGGGGGGGGATAATTCCCTTTGGGAAGAAGAGTTTGGCTGTTCCAGAGCTTTGGCGCTGGATGTGGATGCTGGGAGGGAAGGGAGGGTTCCTGGGGACACCCCACAGCTCCTCCTCTGCCGCTGTCACGCTGCAGGCACTGACGAGAGGGCGGCTTTTCCCTCCCCGCCAATTTACAGCCCGGCCTCAGCAATGGCCAGACACCTCAAGGAGTTCCTTCCAGTCACCTTGGAAGGCTCTTCCATATTCTTGGAAGGCTCTCCCAGATTCTTGGAAGGCTCTCCCAGATTCTTGGTAGCTCCAGCAAGGCCACAGGAACGACCAGGAGATGCTTTTCTGATGCGCTTCTGCTGAGAGAGCTGGGGCTGCCCTGCCTGAGGAAGCTCCAGGGAAACCTCCCAGCCCCTCCCAGCACCTGCAGAGGCCCTGGGAGAGCTGGGGAGGGACCCAGTCAGGGAGGGGATGAGGGGGGATGGCTTCAGACCCAGAGAGGGCGGGCAGAGATGGGATATGGGGAAGGAATCCCCACCAGCTGGGGCTGCCCCATCCCTGTCCCTGGAACTGTTCGAGGGCGGGTTGAATGAACAACCTGGGGTGCAAAACACCCTCCAGCAGGTCCTGCTTGTCCCATTTTTAAAACTACTGGGCCTGTTCTCGAGGAGTGAAGGGAGGACTGAGCTGGAATTCCCGAGGTGGGGGCGGAGTGGGGAGCGTTTAGGACCCCAAAATCTGAGTGTGGTCGTTTGTGCCCTTCCAGGAGGCTCAGGGGCCTGGGCTGAGCCAGTGGTTCCCTCCCCACGTGTCCCCCGAGGAGGGATCTCCCTCAGGAGCCCCTGGGGTGAGTACAACAAAGCTGAGAGGCTTTGGCAGCGAGCAGCCGAAACAGGAACCCGATTTCAGGCGGCTCCGGGTGATTTTACGGCAATCAAACCAATAAATGCCCTAAGCACGAGCAACGTGCTCGGTGTAGAAACAGATTTAATGCATGTCAGTGGATTTTGAAATTGGTTCTCCGTAAATTAACACCATTCTTGTTCAGATCAGAAGCGTTTCGGATGGTACTTTGGAATAGGACCCGTCCTCCTCATACCAGGATAAAGTAAAAAATATTAATATTAATCCTGTGAAAGTACTTTTCCAGATGTTTGGACTTCATTTTGTTCTATTTCTTTTTTTTTTTTTTTTTTTTTTGGTCATTTAATTTGATTGAACACGTTCCAAATCCACTTATCCAAACGCATTCAGCGAAGTTAAAAGATAATGGAAGGCAACTAATTTTGACATATCGCCCCTAATGCCGTGCCGTTCGGTGCTTAAAAACCGTGGGCAAAGGATTTTTTAAGGCAAAACTTTTTCAGAAATCGTTTTTTGAAACAAACCAGAGCTCTTCTGGATCGAGGAGCGACAAGGACGAGGGGGAATGGTTTTAAACCGGTAGAGATTTAGATGGGGATATTCGGAAGAAATCCGTCCCTGTGAGGGTCGTGAGGCCTGGAAATGTTCAAGGCCGATTAGACAGGGCTTGGAGCAGCCTGGAATGGTGGAAAAGTGTCCCTGCCCACGGCAGGGGGTTGAAACGAGACGATCTTCGAGGTCCCTTCCAACCCCAAACCCCTTCCGCGATTCCGTAGAAATCACTTCAAATCCCACAACTGCCCCCTCAACCTTCCCTCTCAGGAGACAGAGGAACCCGAGGAACAACAAAGGAACGGCCCAGACGGGGGAAAGTGCAAAAATAAAGCAGAAAACCATGAAAACCCGGCCGGGACAGAGGCAGGAACGCCGACAGAGAGCGGAGCGGGGACATCCCCGAGCTGTCCCCTCCCCATCCCCGCGCCCCGACTGGGCGAGGTGGAGACCGAGCTGCTCCGCGACGACGACGAGGAGGAGCTCGACTTTGGCGAGCCTGGAGTGACACCAGCAAGCCCCGAGCCTCCCGCCGGACCCCCCGAGGGTGGTTTTTGGAGCCGCCTTGACCCCCGGCTGGGGCTGCCCCTGCGGGAGGGGCTCGCCCGGTGCGGGAGGGGCGAGTACGAGGCGGCGGCCGCCAAATTCTCCACGGCCCTGCAGGTACGGCCTACCCGGAGAGGGGGTGGGTTCACCATCCCTGGAGGTTGGATGTGGCCCTTAGTGCCATGATATAGTCATTGGAGATGGATCAGGGGTTGGACTGGATGATCTTTTCCAACCCAATCTATTCTATGATTCTACACCGGGGTGAGGGGAGGGCTGATTGGGAAACCCTGAGATCCGATTTCCAGTGAAATCCCGAAGTGAAGAGCTGCAAATAAACGTCAGAGGAAGAAGGGAGGTTGTTGGGGGGGCTCGGACGAACCAAAGAATCTAAGGGATGGTTTTGTGGGTTTTTTTCCCCTTAATTTGTTTTTTTTCGCTTGAGTCCTCAGCTGTGTTTTGTGTGAGGAAGGAATTGAAGTCCCATAAAAGTTAAAAAAAACACTTTTTTGTGTTTTTTCCTTAAGTGAGTCCTCAACTGTGTTTTATGTGAGGAAGGAATAGAAGCCCCGTAAAAGGAAAAAAAACACTTTTTTGTGTTTTTCTCTTAACTGAGTCTTCAACTGTGTTTTAGGTGAGGAAGGAACTGAAGTCCCGTAAAAGGAAAAAAAAAAAAAACAAATAAATTCTCCCCTCTTTAATCCCAAACTGTATCAGCAAAAAATGGCCTCTCAATAATCAAGGGAGTTCCCACTCTTCCCCCAGCTGTCCCTGCAACCACCTGTGTCAAATGTTTTAATATTTTACCTAAAAACAGGTCCCTTTGAGCCCCTTTTTTTCCCCTTTATGGCGTTTCCATCCTGCCCTCTGTTTCATTTTTTTTTTTTCCCTCTGAAGACAGAAGATGCCACCAGAGCCAGACAGGAATCTTTTTTTTTTTTTTTTTCTTACATGAAAGACTGGGCAGGTCCCACAGGGATCAAAGCCCCTCAGAACTTCGGGGTTCTCCAGCAGTTCAAAGCCCAAACGCTGAGTTTTTTGGGGGGGAAGAAAACACTTTGTGAGGTGCTAAAGGGACACGACGTGCTCACACCTGACCTGCTCTTCCATCAGCAGTTATTTCTAGGATTTCCAGTCCAAGGATTGAAACCCCAAAAGCAGGAATTTACAGAGCTCGGGCATTTCTTAAAAAAAAAAAAAAAAAAAAAATCTCACCCAGCCTCGACTTTTATCGGTGCAAATATGAGAAGAAGGAGTAAAAAAAAAGGGGGAGTTGCCCTGGCAAGGTTGCAAATGAATTTTACAGGGGAAGGGAGGAGAGGAAGGAGGTGGAGGAGAGGGTCACCCTCCCATCCACCAGTGCCTCCTCTCTGATAAACTCCCAAAACAAAGGAAAAAAAAAAAAAAAAAAAAGGAAAAAAAAAAGGAAAAACAAGAGCCGTTTTCTGCTTTACGGGAATGCGGTCGGTGATGGGAACAGAGGACTGGCAGGCTGGACTCTGCACTCCCTCTAAAAAATTTCTCCCCACTCTGACCCTGATCCCATCAGCTGGGTATTTGACATCCTGATAAGGGGGCCAACTGTACTTGTTTTAGCGCTGCCCTGCCAAAATTCACTAAAAAGCGTTTATAAAACCTCAGGGCTTTCCAGTTCACAAGCAAACATCCTATTCCTGTTTCTTTCTTTTTTTTTTTTTTTTCTATGATACCAAAGCCATTTTTTTTTTTAAAAGCAAGAAATAAAATTAGCAAGTGTCATCCTTTTTTAGGTCTCTTAATCCAGCTCTCCTCAGAAGCAAAACCCAGAACGTCCCTGAAAGACAATTCTGGATTTTGTAGTGATATTTTTTTTTTTTCAGCCCTGACTTTAATTAAAGCCGTTTCGCTTCAGTTTTCCCCGCTGATCAGTCACAACAAGCATTTCCACCTAACAAATGGGGCGCTACAGGGTTTGTAAATCACGGTTTCGTTTCACGTTTCAGCTTTGCAGCAGAGGCTTTGCCGTGGAGGATCCCTTGGAGTCCTCCCCGGAGGACATTTCCAGGGTTGCCGGTTTCATCGAGGCAAAACTCGTCACCTGTTACCTGAAACTGGGGCAGCCTGGCATCGCTCTGAGTCACTCACACAGGTGAGAAGAAAAACAAAATATGGGTTTAATCCGCTGCTAGGACTGAAATCCAGGATTGAACAGAGGCCAGGAGTGAGAGCTGTGCAGGGAGAACCATTTTTTCTAACGAGGAAAGAGGAACCAGTAAGCGTCGCGCTGGTGTTTAGGTTGGACTGATTTCTCCAGAGGGAAGATTCCAGCTGTGCCAGCCCCTGCAGATATTCAGTGCTTTGATGATGCAGAAGGGAAGGAGCCCGTGTGTGCAGCCCCCCCATGAGCCCAGACACGGGGAGGGGGTGAATCCTTCAGACCAGTCCCAAGCACCAATTTCGGGGCTGAGTGCCCTTCCTTTACCCACACACCAAAGGCAGAGGGAAAATTATCCCTGGAGCTTTTTTTTTTTTTCTTTCCCCCCCCTAGAATACACAAAACTCTGAAGAAATTGCGCTTATGATAGAACAGCAGCGAAACTTTTGCCGGTGCTTGTCCACCTGGAGGGAGGAGGGGAGGGAGACAAAGAGCCAACTGACATTTGAGACATAAAATTGTAGAGAATTAACCACACGTGGCACTTGCCTCAGCCACAGCTCGATTCCCACGAGCTCTGCTGATGGGAATCAACCTAACCCTTGTCCATCCATCCTTCTCCTTCTTCTCCTCTCTCTCCCCCCAAGGAGCATCATCCAGAACCCCTCCTGTTTCCGCAACCACCTGCGCCAGGCCGCCTGCTTCCGATGCCTGCGGAGATACTCGGAAGCCGCCAGGTAAAACTTCCCCCTGCGGGGCGTTCCTCTCCTTCCCAGCCCTCGGGAGATCGGTTTTGCGTGTCTGTGTCTCTGTGATCTCCAGCCCTCCCTGCGCGTGTAAATGTGCACGATCCCAAAAAAAAAGGACACGACGGGGGGGCAATTCGCTGGTGGAGAATTAACCGAGCTAAAATTAACCCGATGCTCTGAGGCTGGGCGAGGAACTGAGAGCTTTCTGGGCCCCCCCAAAACCTCACGTTGCGCTCGTTTTTAACCTGATTTCCTCTCGGTCTGGCCGCAGACAGCCCTTCCCCTGCCTCATTTCTGCTGCTCTTTTTTTTGCTGTCAGGAGCGCTATGATCGCCGACTGCCTGTACGTCCTGGCAGGGGGCACCAGGCTGGGGACCAGCGACCTCATCCAGCTCTACTGGCAGGTAAAAACCGGCGGCCGAAGGAGGGGAATCGGGTGATCCCCCCTGTGTGTCCCAGCCGTGGGATCAGCAGGGGGGGAGGATTCCTGCTCCAAAAGGGGGGCACATCAGCCAGCAGGACTTCATCACAGCCCTCCCGGACTCCAAAGGGAGGAGATTCGTTTGGGCTGATTCTGAGGGATAAATTCAGGGTTGTTAACCCTCGGATCACGGTTTAATTCCATGGGCTGCTGTAAAATTTAACTTTGGGCACTGTCGCCCGAGCTATTTTTTTTCTAAACCCTTCCTGCTACGATCTTCAGAGAGCATGGAATCACTTTTTCTTCTCACCTAAAAGACAATTAACCCAGCAATTATCTCCTCGTTGAAGGCAGGGGTTTGTGGAGTCCCTACCCAACCCACCTGATCGTTTTCCTTGTTTATTTTTTTTTTAACCAGCCATCACCCAACATGAAAATCTCATTCCTTCACCCTTTTTTTTTTTTTTTTCAGGCTCTGATTCAAGAAGCCCTCAGCGAAGAAGCGTCTTTTTCTGTCCTGTACACGCCTTTTGAGAACGAGGACGAGGCTGAAAAAATAAGGGAGGCCACCGAAACCTTTGCTGAGAAGCACCCTGATTACGTGCAGCACATATTTACAGGTCTGAGGGGCTCGAGCTCCTGTTTTACCTCACCATCAGCAAAACTGTTGGTGCAAAAGGCTGTGAAGTCCTAAATTTCGAAGCCCAGTGAGGGCTGGGTGGGTCGGTTTGGTCCCCTGGTTCTGTGAAGCTTTCTGGAGAGCATTTCTCGTTCTCAGACTTCCTTATTTTTCTCAAAAAAAAAAGGTAACTTCTCTTGGAACTGAAAAGAAATGTGGGAATGGGAATAATTTTTCCTTTCCCTGTCACAGATCCTTACGGAATTCACCTGCTGCCAGAGGGAGTTGAGTCCCTGCCTGACCAGCAGTACTTACTGACCCTGGGCTTCAGGGACAAAGAGCTCGGAAAGAACGTGGAAAAATCTGTAACTCGGAAGCTGCCGATCTGTCCAGGTGGGCAAACCTGCTCAGGAACTGGGGTGGCTCGTGGGTGACCCCCAAAAATCCCTGATAAATGATAAATCCTTGATAAATGAGGAGAGTGGAGGGGGAGGTGGTCTCTGTGCTGGCAGCTCTGATTGCTCAGAGGGCTCTGCCCACCCAGTTAAACCAACATCCCCCCGGATCCTCTGCCAAAAAAAAAGGGGGAGATGAACAAAAACAACCCCCGTGGTTTCACTCCCTAGAGCAGAAAACGCCTCTGGGTGCCGGCACGGAGGAAGGAACAGAAACGTTTTGGGAGAACGGCAGGAAAAAGGTCATGGCAGTCCTGGATTTTATAGGAAGCACCAAAATAAAGGTGAGTCTTACATTCCCTTTTGGGGCGTGTGGTGACACAGACCTCTGGGTTTGTGTGGTTTTGGGGTGTCGTTCCTGCTGCAGGTGATCCGCCAGGGTCCTGAAATGCCCCACGGATTTCCACAGGAACAGAGTTCCCGTGGGTTCAGACGCTTTCCAGAAGGAGCCCCGAGTTTCTCCTCCAACCTCTTGGCTTTTCCCGGGCCAACAGGACAAGGAGAAACCCCCGGGGCACAGGAGGGCTCCAGGGATCAGGGATTGTTCCCTGAGTTTCTCCTCTAAACCCTTTATTCCTCCCAGGCCAACAGGAGAAGCCCCTGGAGTACAAGACTCCAAGGATCAGGGAGTTGTTCCCTTTCTCCTCCAACCTCTTTGATTTTCTGAGACAAACAGGACAACGAGAAGCCCCCAGGGCACAGGAGGACTCCAGGGATCAGGGATTTTTATTTTTCCCTGGGTTTCTCCCCTCACGCTTCTGTTTCCCCCGGGCCAACAGGACAAAGAGAAGCCCCTGGAGCACAGGACTCCAAGGATCAGGGATTGTTCCCTGGGTTTCTCCTCTAACCCCTTTATTCCTCCCAGGCCAACAGGACAACGAGAAGCTCCCAGGGCACGGGAGGGCTCCAGGGATCAGGGGTTGTTCCCTGGGTTTCTCCTCCAACCTCTCTGTTTTCCCCCGGGCCAACAGGACAAAGAGAAGCCCCTGGAGCACAAGACTCCAAGGATCAGGGATTGTTCCCTGAGTTTCTCCTCTAACCCCTTCATTCCTCCTGGGCCAACAGGACAACAAGAAGCCTCTGGGTCACAAGACTCCAAGGATCAGGGATTTTTCCCTGGGTTTCTCCTCTAACCCCTTTATCTCCCTCGTGCCACCAGGACAGGCGCAGCCCCTGCGCCCGCGCCATCGAGCGGTTCCACCGCGCCGCTCTGCTGGGCCGCTGGCACGGAGGGCACGAGCAGCCCCAGCTGATGGCCCAAGCCCTGGCCGAGCTGGCCACCATCCCCTACCTGCAGAGAGTCTCTCAGGAGGACGACAGGCTGGTAGGTTTCGGATTTCCAGCACTTCCCTTTGCGGGGCTGGGAGCCGGGGGGGGAGGGGGAAGGGGCCGGAGGGAATTTGTGCCCCCCTGGAGTGGAGTCGAATTTTTGCCCCAAAAAGCACAGAGAGACTGCTTTAGAGACGAAGATTTGTTTCCTTAAAGCAGGAGGTATTTTAATGCAACGCGTTGGAGAGTTCCCAGGTCGCCCTGGACAAAGAACTCTGCCGTGTACAATCAGCACAGCTCTTTTGTACAGTTTTGAGCATAAAATTACATCATAAAACATGCATATTCGTTAAATTGCAACATCTACTTGTAGTATTCATATATAGGCGGAGTCTTCAATTTGGGGAGGTTTAGAGGTGGGAGTTCCTGCAGCCTTCATCATGGGCAGTGGTCGTTTGCTGGTCTTCCTCGTTGTAAACTTCCGAAATTTCCTCAAATCTTTCCCTAATTTGGATAGTTGGCCAGTGTGGGAGGGTCAGGTTGACTTTTGGCTAGTCCTAAGATTTGCTGATGTTGCTATCTCTCTTCGTTTTATGCTTTAAATGTTCTATCCTGTCAACATGCTCTGTTCCTCAGACAATTTATTACTTCTTCTGTGGTTTCCTAATGCTAGGGGTTTTGGAACTACTTCCACAATTTTGTGTTTGGGGCAACCTCTTGTTTCTCAAAGACTGTCTCAACTGAGTGGCTTCAGGAGGGACCCGAAGGAATTTTTTTAATCCTCCCTTCGATGCGTTGTGCTGATCGCCCGCAGGGGAAACTTTGACAGAACCACCGGGACTCAACTTGTTTAAAACCCTTTCTTTTTCCCCTCCCCCAAACCAGTCTGGGGGAAATTATTGCAACCATTCGGATCGTGCCCCCCTTGACACCTCAAAGGGCACCTGCAGCCCGGTTACAGCCGAGGAGGAGAAGGTGGGGGAGAAGAGAAAAAAAATTGATTTTCTGTGCTGGGTCCACCCACGACACGCTCCTGGTGTCGGAATAAACCTGGTGATGCCGTAAACGGGTGAAGAATTTGAGAGAAACGTGGGCTGGGCCCTTGGCTGAGCAAACCCAGTTCCAGAAAGGGACAACGGTGGGAGAAAATAAAAAAAAAAAAAAAAGGCCAAAAATTGTGGTGTTAAAGCGGGGTTGGGTAAAAAAGAGGAGAGGGAGGGAAAAAAAAAAATAAAAAAAATCTCTTCCTTGCTCAGTGTGGGACGATGGATGGAGTTAAAGCCAGAGGGGATTCGGGGAGCAGTCAGCAGGCTGAGCCCATCTTCTCCCGCCCCTGAGAGGGTGGCCTTGGGTGGGAAATAATCCCTGGGCACCTGAAATGCTGCTTTTGCCACCAGAGCTTTTTGCTTGTGCTCACCCACAGCGTTTTGGTTCGATTGCTCCGTGTTAGAACTCAATAAATGTACCAGCAGGTGGCTTTATATGGTTTTGCAGCAGATATTGTGTCGCCAGCCACCCTCCAACCTGTCCAAATTCGTCACAATCTGTCCTAATTTGTATCAATAAAAATTGCTGCAAATTGTTAAGGTTGAGCCCCTTGAAGTCCTCGGAGGTCTCTCAGCAATGGATCTTAATGACCTTTTTAATGAGTAACAAACTGGGAGCTGAGGCAGAACGGGCGGCGTTTTAGACCCCGCGATAACGCAGAAACACAAAGACGGGTTGCCCACGAAAAACGAGTCAGAAAAAATCACCAAAATGCTGATTATTTTTTTTAAATGAGCCTTTCGGGTGGGTTATCTCAGCGTGAATCCCCCCCACACACACACACAGGGACGGTTTTTGTGTCTTTTTTTCCCCCCGCAGCTGCGGTCGCTGACGGCGGACGCCACGGACATGCTGGCTGGGAGAGCCGGGGATCGCGCCTGGACTAAAATACAGAAGGTAAAAAACAAAAACATCCCCCTCCCCGAGTCCTTTGTCTCTTCAAAAAGCAGGAAAAAAATGAATAATAATAATAAAAAAAAAAGGAGGTGCTTTATGGAACCCAACCACGCTCCCACAGCTCTGTCTGCACCGTGGAATCAGCCTTTTTATTTTTATTTATTTTTTTTGAGCCTTTCCCATGTGATTTTTTTTTTTTTTTGCCAGCCCATCTGTTTTTCCTAAAGTTTTTTTTTTATATATATATATTTTTATATATATAATATATATATAATAAATAATATAAATATAAAATATAAAAATATATAAATAAAAATAATATAAATATATAAATATAAAAATACATATTATATATATAATATATAATAAATAATATAAATATAAAATATAAAAATATATAAATAAAAATAATATAAATATATAAATATAAAAATATATATTATATATATAACATATATATAATAAATAATATAAATATAAAATATAAAAATATATATAAAAATAAAAATAATATAAATATATAAATATAAAAATATATATAATACATATAATATATATAATAAATAATATAAATATAAAATATAAAAAAATATATATAAAAATAAAAATAATATAAATATAAATATAAAAATATGTTTTATATATATATATTATATATATAAATTCATATATTTATATATATTTCAGCTTCTTCCAAACTGGGGGCTGGCACCGGGGATTCCTCCCCGGTTCTCTCTGCACGTTCCTGTGCTGAGCCAACAGCAACAAGCCCTTCCCCCTCCTTTCTTCCCTTTAGGGCAAAGAGAAAGAAAAATCTATAAAAAATTGAAGAACCCAAAATCAAGCTGATTATATAAATATATATATTATATATATATACAATTAAAATGTTATGTACATATTTATATTTTATATTTATATTTATATTTATAAATATTTATATACAATTAAAATGTTATGTCCATATTTATATTTTATATTTATATTTATATATATTTATATACAATTAAAATGTCATGTACATATTTATATTTTATATTTATATTTATATTTATATTTATATTTATATACAATTAAAATGTTATGTACACGGCCAAGGGAATTCAAACACCCCTCGAAAGGGAAAGGGGAAAAAAGGGACAAAAAAAGGGACAAAAGGAGCAACAACAATCCCAGGGCAAAGGACCCGTCAAGGCTGAAGTCGTGTGCTTTTTATTTTTATTTTTTTTTTCTCTCTCTCCAGTGATTATATTCAAAGGAAAACTTGTCGATTTGGAGATTTATTATTGATTTACTAGGAAAAAAAAAAATAAAATAATCTTGCCACAGCCACACGGAACAACTCCTTTTCCACCCAACAGCAGCGAGATAATTCAATTTAAACAGAAAATAGTAGAGTTAAAAAAAAAATAATTATAAAGTGAGGGCGCCCCTCCTACAGGCAGTTGATGCCTCCCTGTGTTTTTGTTCCTAACGGCGATTAATTTCGAAATAAATCGGAATTTTTTTTTCCGAAATATTAATTTCGAAATTAATTTCGAAATTAATTCGGCAATTAATTTCAAAATAATGATAAATAAATAAATAAATAAATAAATAAATTTTGAAATTATCGAAAAGGGCTTTTTAAAAATTTTAATTTTAATTTTTAAAATTTTAATTTTAATTTTAATTTTTAAAATTTTAATTTTAATTTTAATTTTTAAAATTTTAATTTTCCTCGCAGCTGGCGCTGATAGAGGAGGAGCTGAGGGAAGGAGAGGAGGATTTCCTGAGGAACCAAAAAGTGCGAAATCCTGGGGTGGAAAACTCGGGGCAGGAATATCTGAGGCTGGAAAACACCAGCGTGCTCATCCCCGACCCTCGGAGCTTGGCCACGGAGTCAAAGAGGAGATGCGTGGATTTTGCCAATAGTTAATTTTCTGAGGGTTTTCTGTGGGTTTCTATTTAATAAATAAACTTATTTTAAATTGTATTAACTTCGTGGTATTCGTTTCTGTTTAAATCCCCTTAAACGATATTTATCAGTCGAAGTTGTAGCGGTATCACTTTAAATTTAAATGGTTATTAAATAATATTTCCTTGCGTTTCTGGCGTTAAACCTGATTGCATTCAATTATATTTTTACTAGTGTTGTTGTATTCGTTTATATTTCAATTGTGTTAAATTGCATTTATGTATGAATTCTAGTTGGATTAGTTTAAATTTAAGCGGCATTAAGTAGTATTTGCTTGCATTAACTTGGAGCTGCGTGGACTGAAATTTAAACGGCGTTAAATTGTCTTGATTTCTATTAACTTGTGGGATGAATTCGGATTTAAATTCCACTAATTTGTATTTGCTCGTACTAACTTCGTGCTCGTCGAATTCAAAAGGTATCAAACAGCATTGACTTGGAATAACTTTCAGCTTCATTAGCTTAAATCTTAAATTAATTGCATGAAATTGCATTTACTAAGTTGCATTTAATTATATTTATTTTTTTGTATGTCTAGGTTGTACAAATTTGAATTTAAATTGAATTTAACTGAAAAGTTGTATAATAATATGTTGTTTTACAGTAATGTTTATTCTCATTAAGCTGTATTTGTTTACATTTCAATTGTATTAAATTAAATAATAGTATTTACTCCCATTAAGTTGTATTTCTTTCAATTTCAATTGTATTAAATTTTATAATATTTACTCGCATTAAGTTGGATTTGTTTAAATTTTAACTGTATTAAATTGTATAATAATATTTACTCGCATTAATTTGTATTTTTCAATTTCAATTGTATTAAATTAAATAATAATATTTACTAGCATTAATTTGTATTTTTCAATTTCAATTGTATTAAATTGTATAATAATATTTACTCACATTAAGCTGTATTTGTTTCAATTTCAGTTGTATTAAGCTGGGGGTTCATAGGGGCTCTATTTGCATAAAAGGGGGCGTGGCTCCGCAGCCAATAAATGCGTGGATTTGAATAAAAGGGGGCGTGGCTTCACCTCTCACAAGCAGGTATCTATTTGCATAAAAGGGGGTGTGACTCTGCAACCAACAAATATGTTGATTTGAATAAAAGGGGGTGTGGTTTCACTTTCCTAAATTACCTGTCCATTTGCATAAAGGGGGCGTGGCTTCCCAGGTGGAAGCAGATGGGGTTTGTTTGCACAAAGGGGGCGTGGCTCCACCTCCAATCAGCACACAGATATTTTTATTTGAATAAAAGGGGGTGTGGCTTCACCTCTGACAAGCAGGTACCTATCTGCATAAAAGGGGGTGTGGCTTCACTTCCAACAAGCATGTGCCTATTTGCATAAAAGGGGGCGTGGCTTTCCAGGTGAATGCATATGGAGTTTGCACAAAGGGGGCGTGGCTCCACCTCCAATAAGCAGAGATCTCTATTTGAATAAAAGGGGGCGTGGCTTCACTTTCTGACAAGCAGATGCCTATTTGCATAAAATGGGGTGTGGCTTCACATCCAACAAACAGGTGCTTATTTGCATAAAGGGGGTGTGGCTCTGCAACCAACAAATGTGTGGATTTGAATAAAAGGGGGTGTGGCTTCTTCACCTCCAACAAGCAGGTGCCTATTTGCATAAAGGGGGCGTGGCTCCACCTCCAATCAGCAGACACATATGCCTTTATT